GAGACATATTAGAGGCAGAAACAGGAGTTAGGAGGGGTAGAGGTAGACCTAGATTAGATTACTCTTCGCAAATAGTTAAGGATGTGGGCTGTTCTGGTTTTAGGGAAATGCGAGGTTTAGCTCAGGATAGGAGGGAGTGGAGGTACGTGTCCAACCAGTCTTAGGACTGATGACCTTATGATGATGATGACACAAAAAACAATAAATTATATTAAGCGAATCTTTTTTTCAGGTGATCTACTTCATTCGCAAGCAGTTTTCTAGAATAGTGGTAAGTGACATTAAATTTTCTTCGAACTATGTTATTACCATATTGCATCGATCATGTTTTTGTATATAATAACTAGTATTTCATTTAAAAAATAAATTTAATTTAGAGTTCGTTATTGTCCGCCCGTCATACTTTTTTGTTCAGTAAATAAAAATGTATTGTCTTGTCAAAATTTAACGTTAAATATTTACTTTTATGTAATAATTTATATTTGTACTCACTAAAGAAAGGTAGCTTTGTTTATTACAGTGATAAATGAAGCAATAATTGTAGATAACTCAGACTAACATATGTATAAGTAGCTACATTGTACATATAACTTGTTTAAGGAACATTGAAAGATTTTATTTACTAGCGATTCTAAATTTGATTTTTTTAACTAATAATCCAATATAATTTTCAACATTACCTTTCTATCTCGGTATAATCTACATCGATATCAACAATTTCATAAGTATTTGCTTCGAGTTTATTTTTAATTTTGGGCAAAGGTGGAAGATTTCTTTTAAGAAGCACAGTCGCGGGTTTAAACGTATTTTCGGTAGTTTTTGAAGTTTTGCTGCTTATTGCTTTACACCATTCATTTGCTTCTTCATCAGATTGGGCAATAAACTAAAAAAACAAAACGCTTAAAATTACTTCTAAAGTTTCTCTGGGGATGTATTACCTGATACGATTTTTTATTCAGGCGGACAAATTCAAAAATTGCAGACTTTTTTTTACTATTTTTGCCGTTATTTTGAATTCTGACTTCGTATTTGGTCAAGTCAATTGTTCGAATTGGCTTAACGTCTTTTTCACTCAAGTAAATAAGAAAAAACGATTCTTGGACTGCAGCAAATATCTTTTTGTGGTGTTCAAGAAATAGGAATTTTTCTTTTTTTATTAATGGTCCATTTTTTTCGCAAGTATTTACTTGTTGGGCTGGTAAATCTATAAAATTAATCAATCACTACAATTAAAAGAGAGATAAGATAATAGAAATATAATATTTCTTACTTGCATATGGGCAATTGCCTTCATCGTTCATTACTGACGAGGTAGATAGATTATCAGATTTTGATAGATTCAACGAAGGGTTTTGGTAAAGAGCTTCTTGGTTTTGAACATCCTCTTCAAATTTTATATCAGACTCTACATATTCATCCAAAACTAAAAATTTACTGTTATAAAGAAATAGGTAAATACAGTTATTGTTAACACGAATTAATTTAAGTNTTAGTTTCACTATTTATAGTTTCTGTTTTAAGTGGTAATCTTTTTTTTTTTTGTTTTGTAAATTAAATTAGAATTTAATTAGAATCAAAAACAAAGGCCACATTTAGCACTGACTCTAATAGATATCTACAACTTTTATAAAAAGTAAACAATAGTAGTTTCAAAATATTTTAAAGTATTCGGATTGCTTTTTTGTGAAAATCTGAAGTATTTTTGGCAACATTGCATAAATTTGTATCCAGCAATACTGAGCTGGGCCATTGCACCTGGTAAAACGCGTATTAAGGCAACGTTGCCACGGTCCTTTTTAATAGTATTGATCCACAAAGAGATTGTAAATGCATGGCTACTCACATAATCGTGGAAAGCTTTTGCTTCTGACGAATGTTCGCACGTGTCTCGTCTTTCTGGGGCAGCACAATACAGGTCCCAAAATACGCTAAAATTTTATAATTTACGAAAAAAATCGAATAAGGTATATATCAAAACTTACCACCACCATGAATGTAAAAATCCAGGTGGTTCACCTAACGTTATATTTTTCTCCCACCTTATCTAAAATATTTAGCAAATTAAAACAGTCAAGTACTTAATGATTGTTTTTATATTTCATAGTAAATTTACCTCCGACAAAAAGGTTTGTGCGGCTTTTTGTGCTCCAATGTGAAGAAGATATTCGTAAACATACAGTGCAAGCCTGAAGAAGAAATGTATTTATTAACGTAAATTATTTGCTTAAATTCTCATTAGCAAAGTAAAAAACAATCATATTTAAATCTTCAGATAAGAAATTACAATGTCACGTGGTTTTGTTGTGATAAAACCACCCTAATTCTAATTGGACACAGCAAGAATTTATAAATAAATAAATGGTATTCTAATGCTACCAAGGGCGCTTCTATTTTTGCTCCAATTGTTTATTCTAAAAAATGCATTTATACTCACTTTTCTCGCGCTTGTGCGTCGGACGGTACAGACGACCCCTTTCCTTTCGCGTACATTTCTTTTGCATAAACCAACTCAAAAGACCGTAAACAGAATGCAGCGACTTTCGAATTTTATCATTTCTTGTTACACATTTATATTTCGAGCATATTCAACTTTTTACATTGTTAACGATACTTCAGCGCACATTGCCTTCTGGCTGTAGAGCACTTACAGCCAGATCTTTATTTGTTATTTGTACGTAAATATCACTTTGCAAAACAACTCACTGTCATTTTACAGGAATATATTAAACACACTACACACTTCACACGTCAAAATACTCACGACGCCGCTATCACTGTGATGTTGTTCAAACTGGGCATGCGTCAGTGTTACATTCCCGTTATCTATCTTCAATTTAGTACGAAGATCGTCCATTAAATTTATCAAATTATCACGCTTTATTATTACACGTAATTAAAAACACAGACTTTTCGCGTGTTTATGGTGGGTTTTACAAATTAATTATCAATTAATACTTCGATTTTTGCAAGAAACACACCTACTCGGACTAGCTGACGAACTAAACTTGGCAACGGCGTCTTTCCGAAGTGTGAACCGCTGCGACTGCGTACTTTCCCCACTCAAAATGAACAGGGTTGTATGTTATATGATCACTGATCATTAGGAAATAACTTCATCGTTCGAAACTACCACAAAAACTAATTCCCTTAAAAAAAAATTAAATGAAAATTCGTTTTACCTTGGTATTACATAATAAGTAAATTAATTAAAAAGTGAATTTAAACATTTACATAAATAATAATTCATTTCAAATTAATATACTGAAAGCCTTATGTCTACCATCGATAAATTGTTTAATTATGATGAATTTAAAAAACAACTTGAAGAAATGAAAAATCTTTCCGATAAATTACTGGATGGCTGGATAGTCTGCCCAGAAAAGGTAAAAGTTGTAGACGGAAAATATTACGAATAAAATTAAATAGGTATATTTTTTATTAGGATTTAGAAACGGGAATTTTTGCAAAAAAAAAAATGCGGAAAATATGGAAACAAAATAACGGAAATGAAGAAACTGTAACTTTCGAATATCACATTTCATTTAATACAAGCTACTCTGTTCCGGTTATTTGTTTTATCACTTATAAAAACGATGGGTCTCAATTATCTCTGGAGCAGTCCTGGAAAATATTGAATTTACAGGCTCCCTACACCATGTTAACTCAACTGGTAAGAAATCGTAAATTTAATTACAAAAATATATTCAAATCAATTGTTATGGTTGATTAACATGTTTTGCGAAGTTTAGTTGTTAGAAAGTTTCTACTTTCAATGCAATAACTATGGTGCGTTACCTTTCTAAACTTTGCCTTTCTCTTTTCTTTTTTTCAATCCGTTAGAAAATAACGGCAATAGAAATCTACAGAATAATATTTTTTATTAATTCTAGGACCATCCTGTCCTTCAAATACCCTTTTTAACAGTTCATCCTTGTAAAACAGCGCAATTTATCGATGAATCGTTTAAAGACAGGTAATTTACGTTTACTAAATCATAAATAAAACAAGTACATTTTTTTCTTTTCAGCAAAAATATACTCATTTCCTGGCTTAGTGCCATAGGACCGTTTGTGGGACTTACGCTCCATCCAGAATATTTTAAATTAACTCACTAACATTACAATTATTATGAAAATATACGAAAAATTTAAAACACGTTGATGCAAATTTTTCTGAATACGACCCTGACTGTGGCTCATTTAAAACTATAATACAAAACCGGATTTCTGTACTCCGTATAACCCGTATGCTATATAGTTTGAGATTGAAGAGTTTTATTGGTTTTATATTTCTATTGAGGGAATGCTATAGGATTTCTCATTTCCCTCAATAATTTAAAAAATTACAATAGTTATTTTGTTACTTTTTAATTGTAGCTAACCTAAAAATTCCCGATTTTAATCAATTGTAGATGTTTTTATAATTATCTTATATTAGTTTCACTATTTATAGTTTCTGTTTTAAGTGGTAATCTTTTTTTTTTTTGTTTTGTAAATTAAATTAGAATTTAATTAGAATCAAAAACAAAGGCCACATTTAGCACTGACTCTAATAGATATCTACAACTTTTATAAAAAGTAAACAATAGTAGTTTCAAAATATTTTAAAGTATTCGGATTGCTTTTTTGTGAAAATCTGAAGTATTTTTGGCAACATTGCATAAATTTGTATCCAGCAATACTGAGCTGGGCCATTGCACCTGGTAAAACGCGTATTAAGGCAACGTTGCCACGGTCCTTTTTAATAGTATTGATCCACAAAGAGATTGTAAATGCATGGCTACTCACATAATCGTGGAAAGCTTTTGCTTCTGACGAATGTTCGCACGTGTCTCGTCTTTCTGGGGCAGCACAATACAGGTCCCAAAATACGCTAAAATTTTATAATTTACGAAAAAAATCGAATAAGGTATATATCAAAACTTACCACCACCATGAATGTAAAAATCCAGGTGGTTCACCTAACGTTATATTTTTCTCCCACCTTATCTAAAATATTTAGCAAATTAAAACAGTCAAGTACTTAATGATTGTTTTTATATTTCATAGTAAATT